AAAAAGTAAGATAAGAAATGATTATATTTATTAAAAAAAAAAAAAACAACTTAAATTTCTTTTTTTTTCAAAAAAAGAAAACAAAGCACATTTGAATCAAAAATCATGCCATAAGATAAATGGCCATAAGCCATAAGCTCCTATAAGATAAATTTTTCTTTTTTTTTAAAAAAAAAAAATGCAAAATTATGATCTCTTATGTAAACTATGCCTTAACAAAAGGCAAAAAAATATTTAACCATTGTTGGTACACAGATTATAATTTCTTACTTAGCAAATTTCACTGTTTTTTTTTTTGGTGACACTAATGAAATTTTATAAATGATAATCAAACTGATAAAATTAACAAAACAGATAATCGATTGGAATTTTCATGCAAAGTTTAGTATTTGTCTATTTTAATAGCCACATTTAAATATTATAATGGATAATTGGTTAAGTTTCAATAAAATAAAATGCTGAATTTCGTATGAGAAACTGGAGCCAAAACTTTTCCCAACAACACAATGCCATGTAGGACCGAACCTCCTCTCGAATTCTTGTTTTATATATAAGGCCATATCCTAAAATTAATTATTATACAATGTTTATTTACAACTTCTACAACTATTCATTCAAATTATCCGTTCAAAAAATGAGATAGTAAATCAAATTGTTATTTATTTTACTTAGAATTGCTAGGATCAAATTGTTAGAATTGTTAATTTGTTTTTTCTTTTTGTTTAAATATAATTATTCCTTGAAACTTTTTCTAACTATAAATTTTATTATCACCGGTAAATAATAGTGCTGATAATGCGCGAATGAGATTGCTTTATTTTTAGCAAAGTATTTTTATTTCAGGATTTAAAAATTTGACTTCAAATTAAAAATAACTGTTCAGTTGTTAAAATTGTGACAATAAAGCGACAGATATCGAAATTAAAAAGATGAAATATAAACTAATTTATGTAAAATTATTTGGGTAGGAAAGCGGAAGAATTAAAGGAAATATCAAACTTTATCAAGTGAATACTGTTTTCGTGCTTCCAAAGCAATTGCCATACTTTTTTGGACCATTTCTGATTCCATATCTGTTTCTTTCACTTCCATTCTATTGCTAACCATATTTTTGGCTTTTTTTTCCCTAAAGTTTCTTGATTAAAGGCACTGTAAAATTTGTTTAAAATAAAATATGCTTCATCAAAAAAAAAAAAAATTAATCTGAACTAAATTTCCCAAATGTTTTGGTAGTGAAAATCAGCCAAATATCACTTTGTGAAATAAAATTCCTGGAAACTACTACAAAATATTGGTTTTAAGGATTGGCCAAAAGTATTATAATCCAAGGGAAAGCTTGAAAACTAGACAGTCCTGCAGAATTGAAGAAATATTCAGATGAGATTTTCGTGACAGTTTCAAAAGTCCGGAATTTTTTAAATCTTCGAAATTCAGATTGAAAGAAGCCAACTGTCCAGAAATGCATGAAAAATTAAAGTGTATCTAGGAAATAAAATTATGCTAAAAAAAATAATCGAATTGGCGGAAAAAATGCCCACTTTTTCCAAACAAAACACACACTCATCAAAAATGAAAACAATATTATTATTAATAATAACAACAATGATAGTGGTAACGTAAGAGTACAATAATGAGAGAATTA